CTGTAGCTTACAGATCCCACGCTGAAATACCGTGACATCTGCGTAAAAGCATACGGTGTCGTACCGAAAGCGTCTTATCAGAAGACCCAGATGTCTGGTATTGTCTTTTCACTCATTCCCACCAACAATTTACAAGCCAAAGATATCTCATTCACACATCACCACCACCACCACCCAAAGTCCCTTTCAGCCACGTGTGAGTACCTTATTCACCCAATCACACACACATACCCACCTGAATTTCCACATTCCCACAACATTCACACATCCCTACACAGCCAAAGATATCTCATTCACACATCACCACCACCACCACTCAAAGTCCCTTTCAGCCACGTGTGAGTACCTTATTCACCCAATCACACACACATACCCACCTGAATTCCCACATTCACACAACATTCACACATCCCTCCCTCAGACACACCTGAGAGGCACTTTCACCCAATCCCACCCATATTCACACTGACATAACAGTAACAACATGTAGCTCAGATCCAGCCACGTGACTCCACAACAGTGTCTCGTCAACTCAGTATCACCCTCTGATACTTCCCACCAACCCATTCAACTTCCCACCAAATCGTTCACACCTCAACCACCCCAAAACACTCCATTCATACATAGATTCACATCCATCACAAATCATCATCATGAACAACACTGAAGAGAATAAAGAAACAACTTCGAAAACAGAAAACCCATACAACTATCCAAATCCTATACCACCACCTCCAACCGAAGGAACTTATCCCAACCTCACATCGATTGAAACTTACATATTCCATCATGCAGCCCATCATGGATTCGAAATATCCGTAGCTGACACACGGGACACCCACATCCACTACAAGTGTAGTCTTGGGCCACATGGACACAAAACAAAGGGACATTCAAACTCAACAGATGGTCCAGAATCTACTACAAATCCTTTACGCAAAAACTGTCCTTATAAGATTACTGCACGCCGTCGGGCAATCGATCATCAATGGCACATCGAAATTATCAACGGTACTCACGATCATCCTCCTCATTCAAAACCCCCCATTCCACGACAACCACCCAAGAGCCGGAGACCAAAACCTGACGATCAAACCGACACCGAGGCGCCACAACTTCACAACTCCTACCTCCCCATCCTCAACAGCAATCACATCCACACCTATTTACTCAATACCAGAAATTAATCAAACAGATGTACTCACTCCCAACCAAAGACCAAGCCCGTCTTCTCAACCGATTCTTACGTGATTGTGAAGTCCTCCAAGATCACCTAATTGATTCATTGACCGGTGTTGATCTTGAAGACAAAGACCTCAAAGGCAAAGCTTCCAGCAGAGCCTCCAAATTCAAACCCAACAGGACTGAAAATGAAGAAGCCGACAAGTTAGCGGAAAACAATCCGAAAGAAGAAGAAACGGTTGATGATTCACAAAAGCAACCTGCCTCCAAAACCGAACAAGGTGATTGCAATAAGACTAAAAAGAAACATGGTAACCCTATTCCCCTCAACGTCAATAACAATGAAGAAACGAAAGAAACTTACCTGCTACCTTCTCCCAATCGACCAAACCACCTTATAGATATAGACACTGAAAACATAGACACCGAAAACCACACTAGGCCTGCTTTTAACAAGCAAGATGAAGTTATCAAACAGCCATATCACCCTCCTACTAGATCCGACTGTTCTAGCCCATCTCATCAAGCCGAAGAACTCCTCATTCTGAATGCTTTAACTCCGAAACGAGCCAAAGCGCGGTTGCATATCCAATCAAACCCTACAAAACGAGATGCTGGTCAACATTCATCAAGCTATGAAGACCACTCAACAACTGATAGCACACGACCCAAACCACAAACAATTGAAGACCAAGTGCCAACAATTGATACCACAACTCAAAACACCAGCCTTCTTCTCCCATCAAACGTTGGATCCACTTCTGCTGTAAATCGTAAGTTTTGAATTTCTTTCAATCAAATCTGTCTTGGCAAACCCACATACCATTACTTCCAGCATCTTCTCCCCTTCCATTCGTCGAGGAATTCCTGAACAACCTACCTACAAAGGAACAAAGCGCCACTCTACCTCCAAAGGAGCAATCAAAACCAAACGATAATACCAACACTTTGCAATGTGAAATATCAAAAGAAGACAACCAATCGATTCCTCTTACCAATGACGCTGTTCCTTCCAAGAACTCCGTGAAATCTCGAAAACGTAAGGCTACTGATGTCACGAGGCAGCCAACAAGAGTATCCGCACGGCGCAAAGCAGCTGAGAGCAAGAAGGAATCGGGTGAGAATCCAAAGGTTAATCTTTTAATTATCCCTACAAGTGTAGATTAACATTATCCTTCATCAAAATCTTAGATTTCACCACCAGAAGAAGCCGAAAGTCTGACAACAGCTCTCCACCCCATCTCGACAACAGCTACTGGGCCAAAGCTTTTGGGATCGGAGGTCAATCCTACACTCAAGAACAAACGATTAAAAAAAGCTGAGGTACTGACTTGCCCCTCTACTTCAAAACATGAGCCACTCCTCACGTATTATTTTATTTGAGCAGGCCCAAAAACCCATGACCCCCGAACAATTGGAAGAAGCCAAAGAAATTGAGGCTTCCGTTTTGAAGGTAATATGTGTCATATTAATTGTAGATGATCATGCCAACTAATTTACTTACGCACAACTTGTTTACAGAAATGGCCCTTCCTGAAAGATGTACCTCGATACATATTTCCTTTCATCACAGCTGCAACCAATGTGCCTGGTAATGGTCGTTGCGCCTTTGCAACAGTTGCAGTATCCCTCGGTCAAAATGCAGGTGTTGCATCACTAGTTCGAAAACATCTGTCTGAACACGTTCATTCAAAGTACGACTGGTACAAGGAACACTTGCCGAAGATGTCTGGGGAGCTTGACATCAACCGGATGATCACAATTTTGGACTCACACGCTTCCATAGCACTGCCTGATGATTGGTATCCCATGCCGTCGGGTGGTTTTATCATAGCAAATACATACCAAAGGCCTGTGATATACTACAGCCCTTCCGACAGCATATCAAAGGTTGTATTTCCGTGTTTTTCACCACTTGATACGACAATTCCTCCGATCATCATGGCATTCATCGACCGATGCCACTTCATACCCCTTGAAGTATTGCAAAACAACGATTTACCAATTCCTTTTGTCCATCCAGAGTGGTTTGATTTGTGTGATCCTGTGGCCAGGAATTGGTCTGACTTATACAAGGATAACATAGAAATATTCTCTGGTGTGAAATGGCAACGCGATTGGATCTCTGATGAAACACGCCTCCTTCAAGATATTCCTCCTCGTTCCAAGTCCTTGTCCATAGCTTCTGATGGCGAGTGACCCTTGTCTAGAAATATTATAACGTTCACATTTATATTATTCACATTGACCAGCCCATGCACTAGTGTTTGTAACTTACAAGGTTAATATTGATTTGTCTATAGATGAAGATGGAATGATTGGTAAATGTGGTTTGACCAAAAATAGCCAATATTTTGAACTACAAGTAAAAATCGTAGTACACACTGCTTCTGTGATTAAACATGTTCGACACTATTCAAACTTGCAGGGGTTTGGCTTAAAAAGTGATTCCCAAGATTCAATGATTTTTCAGAGATACTTTCCACCTGGGTGAAAGTATTTCCAAAAATCATTGAAGGTGCTTTCCACCGGAGTGAACGGTTTCCACCTGGGTGAATTTATTTCCCACCTGACTGCAAATTCTTTGCCTACTTGGTGAATGACATTCACACCCGGGTGAAATTTCTTTCCCACCTGAAAATTCTCTACCTCCAAGGTTAAAGTTAATTCCCACCGGGGTGATTGCTATTTCGACAGGGGTGAAAATGGTTTCCCACCTGGGTGAAATACCTTTCCCACCTATTACTTCCCACCTCAAATTCCCACTTTTTCCATCTGGATGAAAACTTATTTTCCCAGGCATTTTCAGCAGTGTGAATCTACTTCTTACTATTCCCACCTGGTGGGAAGAGGGTTTTCACCAACTTTCGCCCTTGGGGTCCATTTTTAACTCACAGGGTAAGCATTAAAAAATGAAAAGTTTGTAAATCTGTTCGATTTCTTTCTTGGAATCAATCTAAATCAATTTCATTTTTTTATTTTTGATTCAATCAATCTAAATCACAAATTATTCTGTATTTTTTTTCTTTTTTTCTACCTCATTCTCATATGATTTTACACGCTTCTGGCAATATTTTGACCACTCTTCCTCTCCCATTGTTTTCTTCTTCTCAGAAAGGAACTGGATATGTTGAACCAAAGACTCCGAAATCTGACAGGAGGAACCATACCTGGTCACCTGACATAATTTGTGTTTGGTCACACTTCCATCTGGCTTGAAAGACTGCGACTCCGTCGTATAATGGAGAATCTACATTGTTATCAAAAAGTTAGATTTTTCAACAAAAAAATTGCATTTCTTCACTCAGCTGGGTAAAGAAAACTTACAGTGGTGTCCCATATCATTTCTACGACTCCCTCACATAGGTAAAAAGGTACACATATTCCATACTCCTCAACACGAAATGTAGAACCCTTTGAATTGCCTAGATTCTTTTCTTTTGCCTTTTCATGAGATCGGCCTGTCTTCCGATTCGCAAGGCAAAACATACCAAAACTATACCTTGTACGATCATGATCCAAATGAGCTTCATTGTAGAATCCGTCGCAGGTAACTACTAGATTTGATGCAAAGACCTTGCCATTTTGAGTATACTGCCATTGGGCATCGTGAAATCCGGGTACATCGGCTTTGGAAGCCAACTCCAGATTTGTTTGAAAGACAAACATCGACAGTGAGCCAAAGCGCTCGGCCCAGAAGTCCCGAATCCGTTGAAATTGTTCCATGCGCTCTTGATCACTTTCAATTCGCTCATCAGTGGCGGATCCGAAGGAACTGATACTGTAAACACCTGAAGATATTAAGGAAGAATAAGCATATGACTAACTCAAGCAGATCGTGGAGAGAGAAACAAACACACCTGCTGATTTGCATTTTTCACAACCTCCTCTCCACCCACAGCACCCCATAAAACCAGTGTAACTTTTATCATCCTTGATACCGTGAATTGAGTTATGCAATTTACAATTATTGCGGGCACGAGCATGAAGGTAAGTAGTCGATATTGAGTGAGCAAACTTCTCTTTCACCTCATCCTCCATTTCAGCAAATGGGTTACATCGGACAATTAATACTACATTTAGGGTCTTCTTATCCACGACAACCACAGTTCCTTCTTTGATGTGGATCGGTTCGTAAGGTCCAAGATCTGGTCGATCCTTCAAGCTATACCGGAAAATGAAGACAGTGTCGGAAGGAAGGCCTAGCTCTCTAGCAAGTTTAGCTTTGAGAGTGGTTCTATTGACGTGTTTACGCGGGAGAGGACGTCCAATATGTACCTCCTTTCTATACCTAGCCTTCCCTTCAATATAGCATTTTGATGTTTTAGATTTCCGATTTGGTACTTTAATACCTGCTGCTTTTTTCGCGCTTTCAGATCTTCCACGTCCTATTCTGAGAATTACAAGGATATAATTGTTCAAGAATTGATAGAACAAGAGCTTTGAGAAAGATACTTACTTAGAAAGTGGCGCCGATAGACTAAGTCCAAAAGTAAAGAAAGTTCCCCCAGCCCAAATTGTAGAACAGAGTCAAACAAATGACCACAAGAACCTAAAGAAGTAGAGATCACAAAACAATACTAAGCAAGGTTGATAATTAAACTGAGCAAATCGAAAAAAAGAGTTGTAACAATAACTTACGATTGATAAAGTAAGCTCTCACACAACCAATCAAACCAAACAAGCAAAAACTTTCCAGCAGAACGCGAGACCCCGAATCATAGAACGGAGTCAAACGAACAGGGTCAAGCAAAGCAACTGGGAAGTGATTGAATTGGATCGATGAAAGGTAAAAGAGGGCGTAGTTGGACTAGGTATTGATCGATCGACTCGATTGAGTGGGTTGTGATCGAGTGTGAAGTGTCGTAAGAACGATTTTGTAGAACTGAGTTAAACAAACGACCACAAGATACTAAAGAAGTAGAGATCACAAAACAATTATAAGCAAGGTTGATAATTAAACTGAGCAAGTCCACAAAAAGAGTTATAACAAAAACTTACGATTGATAAAGCAACGTCTCACACAACCAATCAAACCAAACAAGCAAAAACTTTCCAGCAGAACGCGAGACCCCGAATCGTAGAACGGAGTCAAACAAACAGGGTCAAGCAAAGCAACTGGGAAGCAATTGAATTGAATGGATGAATCGTAAAATAGGGGGTGGTTGGGGTAGGAATTGATCGATCGAGTCGATTGAGTTGGTTGTGATCAAGTGTGAAGTGTTGTAAGAACAATCTATAATCAATTGAAAGGGGCTTCTAATAAAACACAAGGTATAGAATGTAATTACCTACCGATTGATCGATCGAGGAGAATAGGACTCTATCAAAAGATACCCAAAGGAAAGACAATGATCAGTTTGAAGAGATTAGTTAGATGAAGAATTGATATCAAAATCACTAACCCTGTTTGAATTATACTAATCAAGATCAATCGTTCGATTGCAATCAAGTTACTTTCTTGATTTCAAAAGTCTTTTTTTGATTCAGAGTATGATATAAAGAAAGTGGTTCAAATGAGATTTGATATCAAGATACGATGACAGTAGGAAGAAAGATTCAGATGTCAAGTTTTCCTGAGACAATTGATTGAAAGTAGAATCTGATAGAAAACAGTCTCATTGAGGCTGTGTTGAAGTGATCGGATAAGGAAGTTTTTCAAAAGACAAGAAAGAAAAAAGTAGGCTACATACCGATTGAAACTTTTTGACAGTCTCTGATGATCTGATATCAGAATGGGAGTACCTAATGAAGCAAGAGAAGTAAGATCAGTTGGTTTGATGAGTGATTGAAAGTTTGAAGAACTGTGATGAGTGATGGAGTTAACTATATTAAAGTCGTTTGTTCAAAAATAAGACAAGGCTGAATTTCAAATGTATGTACCCGATTCGTTCGTTTGTTCGTTTGTTCGTTTGTTTGTTTGTTTGTTTGTTTGATTGTTCGTTGGATGGATTGATTAGGTAGATTAGATTGGAATAAGAAATCAAGTCGCGTTGGGGAAGAGATGTATTAGTTCGAATGGTTTAATCCAATCAGTTAGGGTAAACGTGTGACCTACACGCATAAGACCCTTACAGCATGCGTCAATTCGCTGACCAATCAGCGAATGGATTAGTTTAGGTTAGGTTTGGGCTGGCCGTCGCGTGCTGAAAGGTGGACACACGCGCCGGGGCCATCATGCTCCCGGTTCCCACACATGTACCAAAGTAATAGTGTAATCATGACAAATGTATTTGTTCAATGGTGACAAATACATTTGTCATTGTCTGATGCTATAGTATAATTTTGTGGAACGCATGCTTTACACGCTTTACGCATACTG